TTTTGGAATGTCCAAGGACTTATTTGTTCCAAAAAATTGTCCAAGGAATTATTTAACATGTTTTGAAATGTCCAAGAACTTATTTGTTCCAAAAAAAAATCTAAGGACTTAATCATTCCAAACAAGAAAGTCCATTGATTTTTATTGTATTTTTCCCAAAAACAAACACCATCTTATACTACATGCTTGTTGTATTTTAGGCATTTGAATCATAATTAAATTCATTAAGGTACTGTTTATGCTAAAAAACAATAACAAAGATTTATACGTTTAAAGAATCGTATATATATTATTACCCTAAAACGTTTTGTTCATCTATTAATGTATCATAACATACCCATATAAAAAACAAAGTAAAAATCACGACTTTTTGTATATAAATCCAGAAAGAACAATTGGCTTACGCCATTATTAAAGACACAAGTTAAACAATTCTTTAATACGAACCAAGATTTCAATCTTATTGTACGCACGATGCAAAGAAAAGCACCCACCTGTGTGTATATTTATTTAATAAATAAAAAGGGTGTATCCATACACACCATAGATGTCGGTGTGGAGGTGATCTTTCCAAACAATATTACCCCCTTTTCAGCTCCTCACTTCCTTCTTCATCCCACCCACTTCTCTCTCTCTCTCTCTCTCTCTCTCTCTCTCTATTCTGCTTAGGAATTGGAATTCTGGTTCGATCTAGACCCAAAATCATGGAAACCAACTCGGTTTCCAAATGGGTTTTGCTGTTCTTGATTGTAATCCAAATGGGTGTTCAAGTGATTGAAGGTAGTGTGACATATGATAGCAAAGCCATTGTCATCAATGGTCAAAGAAGAATCCTCATTTCTGGTTCTATACATTATCCTAGAAGTACCCCTGAGGTGCACTGCTCTTTCAAAACTATTCCCATTTTCAGATAATTTTATGGGCAAAATGTGGGTTTGGATCAACTTCAATTTATGGGGTTTTTGTTGTTGTTTGTTGTTGTTGCAGATGTGGGAAGATCTTATAATGAAAGCTAAAGATGGAGGCCTTGATGTGATTGAAACTTATGTGTTTTGGAATGTTCATGAACCTTCTCAGGGCAATGTACTTTACTCTTTCTTTATTTCTTGGTTTTTAGGGTTTATGGGTTGATTTTTGATGCAGATTTCAGTCTGTTTTTGCTCTTATTTTCAACATTTCTTTTTGGGTTTTAACCTATTTTGCTAATTTATGCAAATTTTTAGTACAAATTACAAAATCATACTTCTTTTTGCTCTGTTTTTCTGTTTAATTGTTGATGTTTTTGTTTGCATGTGAAACTCAGTATAATTTTGAAGGGAGATACGATTTGGTGAGGTTCTTGAAGACAGTGCAAAAAGCAGGGCTTTATGCTCATCTAAGAATTGGACCTTATGTTTGTGCTGAATGGAATTTTGGGTATTTTTTTAATATTTTTTTCAGATCTGTTTCATACCTCCATTCTTTTTAGGGTTCATTAGGGCTTAATGGTTAATACTATGTGAAATTACTAAAAGGGTCATTTGGTGTTGATTCTTGCAGAGGATTCCCAGTTTGGCTCAAGTATGTTCCTGGCATTAGCTTCAGAACTGATAATGAGCCATTTAAGGTCACAATTGTCCAAATTTTCTTGTTCAATTTCATATTTTGATCTTTTTGTTGTAATTTTAAAAGAAAATGCATGTAAAATGTGAAAAGATTTAGCCTTTTTTTTTCTGATTTTTAAGCTATGATAACTATTTTTGCAGAGGGAAATGAAGGGTTTCACTGAGAAGATTGTGAACATGATGAAGAGTGAAAAATTGTTTGAATCTGAAGGAGGCCCAATAATCCTCTCTCAGGTAAATATTGTTCCCAGGTCAAATCTTGACCAATAATGCTGTACTGACTTGTACCTTCTGCAGTTGAAGTTGTACATTGCTTTGGATTCTTAAAGATCCATTTTTTTAACGGTCCTAAAGATAACAGCCAGCGAAATCCTCAGGTGGTACCAAGAAAATCCCCTGTAGCCGTAAAAGTAAAAGTTGGGAAAATTCCCAGAGGGTGTGAGGATTGAAGATCTGATTTTTTGTAATGGGTTAATGGAAAACGATGTAAATATGTGATTATAACGTGGTTCGGTGCAGATTGAGAATGAATATGGGTCCATAGGGAAGTCACTTGGAGGTGCTGGACATAACTACATGACTTGGGCTGCAAATCTGGCCGTTGGATTGGGTACCGGTGTCCCATGGGTCATGTGCAAACAAGATGATGCCCCAGATCCTATTGTAAGCACCGCTATAACTCGACTCGGATTCATTTGTTTTTATTCAATAAACTAGTCCTTCGGTCACATGCAAAGATTTGAAACATTTATACCTTTTTCAATTTCAAGATGTCATGACTAGACAGATTTATCTTCAAGAAAGTGTTTAAATCTTGGATCCTAGTCTACAAAAATCAACTTTATTTGAGAATTAAAAGTTGGTGTTTCATATGAGGTGGATATTCTTGCAGAGTTAGTGGTCCCACCTGGCCATCAGCGATGGCCACGTGGGACCAGTACTATGGAGGCACTTTAGAGTGTGGTGTCATACTCGTTGCGGTTTTAGCCTAGCTGGTAAGGAGGTGGATATTCTTGCAGAATGAGTGGTCCCACGTGGCCATCGGCACCAGTACTATGGAGGCACTTTAGAGTGTGGTGTGATACTCGTTTTGCAGAACGCAGAACGAGTAGTTTTCTTGATCTTAATTGTTTTATACATTTGATTGATGAGGGAATAGAATAATAATTGGTCAATGGGCATCTCTTTTCCCTTTGTCAGTTGCCAATAAAGGGAGATCTCCCTGAGATTATTATATTTAAGTTGATAACTGTCCTTATAGCATCTAGCAAAGGGTTGGCTTTGGGCCATGCAAATAGGTCTGAGCCCGGTACGGCTTGGCGGGCTGGCCCGACCTTGTTTATGGTCCAACCCAAATTTGTACTTTTGCTTGATTTGGTGAACCCTTTTGTGTGTTGTGCTGCTAGTTCCGAAAATCCAGCTAGACTTTAACTATTTGAGTTTGTTTTCGAGTTTTGAACCCAAATGGTTTGTAAATTGTTTGATATGATCTTTTTATGATGGCAGATTAACACATGCAACGGTTTCTATTGTGACGCTTTCTCCCCGAACAAGCCCTACAAACCGACCATTTGGACCGAGGCTTGGAGTGGATGGTATGTAATTTCGTGGCGGCCTCTTGTTTGTGAATAAAAAAATTCCCATTTCCCCTCCCTGTCCCACCAATCATGTGAAGCCACGTTGTTATTTTTTTTTTGTTGATATAATTCATCTTTTTATTTACTCTCCTCAACAAAGCGATGATATGGCTTCACATGATTGGTGGAGATTCCGGTGACATTGGATTTGGGATACCAAAATTTTGTTTCTCATTTGTAACACCACCGAGAATATATTTTAGTGATTAAACCGCTCTCTCTTTATATTATTCACAGGTTCACGGAGTTCGGTGGTCCAATCCACGAGCGACCCGTGCAAGATTTGGCATTTGGTGTTGCTCGATTTATACAGAAGGGTGGATCGTTCTTTAACTACTATATGGTTGGTATTACGCACTCATTTCCATAGTTATCCTGAAATCCAAACCGTGATATATTCGCTAAAAATAAATTCTTCATCTTTGATAAAAAGTACCATGGAGGAACGAATTTTGGCCGCTCTGCTGGAGGCCCTTTCATCACTACCAGTTACGACTATGATGCTCCACTTGATGAATATGGTGAGTTTAGAAACTTCTAGAAGCACATTTTAAACTTTAGCATAAAACCCGTATCAGTTTGAACTATGGGGGTTTTCACAGAAACAACCGTTTTACCTTTTGGGGTAGAAGACAGGTCTGCATACATCCCACCCAACCCCAGACTCTGCATTCGAGTGAATATACTGGGTTTGTTAGGTTTATGTTGGTCTCAAAATTCGAATTGTACAACTCTTTCTTGTGATCCCCGTTCATATATTTGTCTCAATGATTCAAATTTTACAGGCTTGATCAGACAACCAAAATACGGGCATTTGAAGGAGCTTCACAAGGCTATCAAGCAATGTGAGCCCGCTTTGGTTTCGGCAGATCCTACCATCACTTCTTTGGGAAACCTTCAGCAGGTTTTCATCTTTCAAATTTTAATTTTAATTACTTGAACCTTTTTCGCGTGTTGGGGTCTTCTCGGAAACAATCTGCTTTACATTTTTACCCTCCCAGACCCTACAACCATACTAAATAACTCGTGTTTTCCAGGCGCACGTATTCTCGTCCAAATCGGGGCACTGTGCGGCTTTTCTTGCAAACTACAACACAAACAACGCTGCGAAAGTGATGTTTAATAACATGCACTATACTTTGCCGCCTTGGTCCATCAGTATCCTTCCGGATTGCAGCAATGTTGTCTTCAATACTGCTAAAGTATGCAAATTTGTTTACTTTCTTTTTCCCGATTTATTGGAGTTTCGGGAGTTTTCTGTTCATGTGTTTAATCGTTGTAAAACTGGTGCAGGTCGGAGTTCAATCAACGCAAATGGAAATGTTACCGACCAATGCCGAGCTGTTCTCATGGGAGACGTATAATGAAGATACAACCACTGTTGACGATAGTTCGACTTTCACTACTTCGGGTCTATTGGAGCAAGTTAATGTCACTAGAGATAATAGTGATTATCTTTGGTATACAACGAAGTAAGTTTTGTCATTTCTAACGTGCCCTCTTGATACAAAAAAATCGGTTTATTTTAGCAATTAGCATCGAGGGTTCCAACTCAACCAATTTGGTAATGAATCGGGATAAGTTGATGGGACGGGCCAGAGTGAGGTAGACGGGATAAAGAATATGGAAGGTTTTAGGGCTCTTAATTTGACATGGGCAGTTTAGTAATTTACAAATCTTACCCCATTGTTCGGTATGAGTCTCAAAGAACGTGTTTTGAATTTTGCAGTGTCGAGATTGGTTCGACCGAATCCTTTTTGCGAGGTGGGGAGCGTCCCAAACTCTTGGTGCAATCAACGGGCCATGCTCTTCACGTGTATATAAACGGAGAACTTTCAGGTGCGGTAATGAGATTATTTTTTTAGATAAAAACAAGTGATCTAATCAAAGAATCATATTAAAAGTTGAAAACGTGTATATATAGGTTCGGCTTTTGGAACACGAGAAAATAGGAGAATTACGTACAAAGAAAACGTCAATCTCCGGCCCGGAAATAACAAAATATCACTACTTAGCGTTGCCATGGGATTGCCGGTTAGTTCCTTCTCCAAGTCACACGAAAAAACGTGCCCTTTAATCGATTCTAACGTTAACTTTTGAACTTCTTGAAGAACATCGGCGGGCATTATGAAACATGGGAAACGGGCGTCATGGGTCCAGTCGCACTTTATGGTCTCGACCAAGGAAAACAAGATTTATCGTGGGCAAAATGGACCTACCAGGTCTGATACACTTATGTTTCCGCTACCAATTACTTCCGTATGTGATTAATACACTTCTTAATTAAGTAAACGACAATTTATGGAGTATTGAATTTCTCCATCTCATAACTGAGGGTGGATTTGGAAAGCAGACACTTCTGAAAGTGGACACTTGTTTTAGAACGGAGTGAGTACCGTATATTCCGCATCTTGGACCTAAAAAACCCATCTTGGATTGCTCGATTTATGTTTTAACAGGTCGGGCTGAAAGGTGAGGCCATGGACGTTATTTCGACGAACCGCATGTCGTCCGTTGAATGGTTGCAGGGTTCTCTTATCGCTCAAAAGCAACAGCCGCTAACATGGCACAAGGTATCGTTCACAATGACTTGAACATGATCACAAAATCTTTTGCAGGCTAACGGCTAACCTCGTGAAATCTTTTGCAGGCTTCCTTCAATGCACCTGCAGGAGACGAGCCATTGGCTTTAGACATGACCAGTATGGGCAAAGGTCAAGTGTGGATCAACGGTCAAAGCATCGGAAGATACTGGACCGCCTACGCTACCGGTGATTGCCAAGGATGCCATTATGCTGGATCTTACCGCCCACCCAAGTGTCAACTCGGTTGTGGTCAACCGACCCAACGATGGTAGCATCTCCTAAGAAATTAATAGGATGTTTTATTTTAGAAGTGTCCTAAAATACTTGTTAAGACGCCAAAGAAGCGTCTTATAAACTTATTGCAACACTTTTACATATGATGTACAATTGTTTAGTCCTATAAACTCGAGCATTATTTTACGTCATTTAGACATTTCTGGGTTTAAAGCCGATTTTGTTGTAGTAACATGTAATAACAAGGGACGTTGTAAATCTTGCAGGTACCACGTGCCTCGATCATGGTTAAAACCAACGGAGAACTCGTTGGTGCTTTTTGAAGAACTGGGGGGAGATCCCACTCGGATATCGTTGGTGAAGCGATCGATGACAACTGTATGCGCTGATATGTTTGAATATCACCCGAACATCAAGGACTGGCATATTGAAAGCTATGGTAAGACACAAGAGCTCCGTAGACCAAAGGTTCATCTCCATTGCGGTCCTGGTCTAACCATTTCCGCCATTAAATTCGCGAGCTTCGGAACTCCGTTGGGAACCTGCGGCACGTTCCAACAAGGAACTTGCCATTCGCCTGCATCGTATGATGTCGTTCAAAAGGTACTACTTGTTGCTCTCAACACCAACCGTCCTAATAAAAGCTGCATTATTACGACACTTCTCAAAAGTGTTCTATTATGACACATTTTAAAAGTGTCGTATAAAAAGGGTAATAGAACGATTTACTTTTTGTGTCGTGTTGGGTTTGTCCATCTTCGTGGATAGAACTTGTTAGGTTGCCCAACTTCGTCATATTAACTTTTTGCAACGCCTTTAGATTTGACGACAATTTTTGGTCCTCTGTAAAGGCCCGTTTAGAGAGAATTTAAAAGGGTTTCACGTATCCTAATGGTATAAAAACTTGTACCCATGTAAAATGGCTGATGATTTGGGATGTGCTATGCAGAAATGCATAGGAAAAGAGACATGTGCGGTGACCATAGCGAACAGCAACTTCGGTCAAGACCCGTGCCCGAACAAACTGAAACGATTAACCGTCGAAGCTGTTTGTGCTCCGAATTCACGGGGTTGAGTGCAAGAAGACGAAAGAAACACGAAACAGAAATACTAATCGACAAATTTGTGATTAGGGTAGCTTTATTTATTGGCTATGGTAGGGTGTATATTAGTGAAGATCCCAGGAGTTCTAAATTGCGAGCTTCGTGATGGATCGATCCAAGTCCTGGTCGTCTGGCGTTTTTGACCGGAAAGTAGAACCAGTTGGCGTTGATTTACCCGAATATTTGGTGTGATTTATTTGGAGTTGTTTGTATGATCATTAAGATGGGGGGATTTAGGTTCAGGTTTAGGAATGGATCCTATTACTGAACTTTTTTTAAGTTAATTGTGTGCAGTTTTTAATGAAAATATATTCTCAAACAATCTACTTTTGTGTCTTTTTCTTTCTATGTTATATGGTGAACGAGAATCGATCCCATGACTTATCGGTTGACGGGTTTGCTTCGGTTTCTTGACCCAACGGACGTCCATGCCTACATGCCTTGTGATCTTCCATATCTGACTCACTCACTGCTTGCGGTTTCTTGACGGCCTAAGCTCTTGGTACCCCTCTGGATCTCGACTTACATGGGCGTTGTCGATGTCTTGGGTGGTTTGGTCAGCATCGCCATTAACTTGTTCTATGATGTTGTCGTAATAGGCTTTGCCTTGGTCGGCGTCATGTTGATCAATTTTTTCGAGGGGTTTGGTATCGCCATCCGTTGGTTCGTCCCTGATTTGGTTTCATGGGCAGTTAGATCGACTGTAATCACCATCTCCCGTTTTGTCATTTTCATGGGTTGCCTCTGACTTTTTTATTCGTGGCACTGGAGGTTGGCATTAACGGCACGCCGCTGAGGATAACCCGCTGAGGCGGGACAAAGCAGGTGTCTTTGCAAGTTCTCGTAGTTCCGGTTGGTCTTTGTAGATTACCGCTGCAGTTAAAGCGGTTGTTTCGTTCAGGTAGGGAAATGAAAATGTGAAAGAAAATAACAGTAATCCTAGAGTTAAATAACCATTTCCCTCATTCAAATTGGCCTCCTAACCATTTCTCTCCCGAATTGACCCAAATGTCACTACTTCCGCAATATCCATTGTGGACCTAGCTAAAGAACAAAAATTCAACACAAATTGCGACGGCGAGATATGTAATTGTGACGGTCAGGTCCGCAATTGCGACGATAAACTAGTTGAATTTGATATTTTTTGTTGTCTTTTAGCTAGGTTCTCAATATTGCGGATCTGCGTATTGTGGATGTAGTGATATTTTGGTCAACCCGAGAGAGAAATAGTTAGTAGGCAAATTTGAACGAGGAAAATGGTCATTTGAGCTAATTTATCAAATAACAAGGAATGAAAATGGGAATGAATTTTCATTCCCATTGGATTAGCTGGAATGAAAATTTGGGTTTTTAGAAAATGAAACCATTATATGTAATACTAAATTACAAAAAGGAGTCGTGATTTTCTTTTATTAGGTATAACTTTTTAAGTTTAATGTACATATACTAAGGGGGGTGTTTGAGATTTGCTTATTTAAAACAATTTATGTTTTTTTGTAAAAGTGCTTATTAACTTATGTGGTATCAAACCGTAGTTTTGTAAAAAGTGTTTAGATTAGCTTATAGTGGTACCAAAAAGCAATAAGTTGATAAGTTGTTTTCTAATGTTTGACAAATTTTACTTATATATATAAAATGACCAAAAAAGACAGTCTTCCATATTATTGACTTGTTTGATTTTTTAACATGTAAAAATTTATTTTTCATCTTTTATAATAATTTCTTTGACAAAATGGTAAACCGGTTATATCATAAAATTAATAATTAACTAACATTATAAAACAGGGTTAAAATGGTAAACCGGTAATAAGCAGTTTTTCATAAGTCAAAAAGAATTAACTTATCAAAAACTGCTTATTACCGGTTTGGCACCGGTATAAGCAGTTTTATTTTTCCTCATCCAAACACTAGCATTTAACTTATCATCGGTGTCAGACTAAAATAAATCAAAAAACACCTAACATAAGCAATCCCATACACCCCCTAAAGCTACTTACCAACCCCTTGTGCCCATGATCCCTTATTTCTCTCCTTCCTCTTTCCACGATCGTTGATTTCTCTCCATCTCTGCTCCCTCTCGATTCCTCTGCAATCGACGTAATCCTCCCCTCACCACCCACCCTTCAAGGAACACGTTATCACTTATCATCAAGCAGACTGAGCAGTTCGTCAGCATATTTTATTCCTTAAAAATTTTGTGATTGTTGGATCATTTGGTTGACGGACCAAGTTATGGCTCGTAAGTTTCATTTCCTTTTATTTCTTCAAGATAATCATGTCTCTAATTGGTGAGTTCCTTTTCATTTCTTTGAAGGACTGATCTTTCAGAGGTTCTTGTGTTTCTAAACTTCCTCACAGTATATTGGAGATAATTTCTAGGTTTGAAGGTAATAAGCATCACAAACCATCTGAAAAAATTATGTCAATTGCTACGATAAAGTCTTGATTCACGTGTTTATTTAATTGGTTTGTTCTCCTAAACTAATATTGTTTTATATTATATCCACGTGTTTATTTAATCTCTATCTATCATTCTTTTGACTTACTAAATTCAGTTTTTCCTATAAGATATAATTGAATATATGTCTAAAGAAATCCTTCGGTGGGTACATCAAATAAGTCAAGTATTCATGTTTTCTTGAATCACTTTTCTGCAAACAGTGTTATCTTTTATGCTTAGAAATACTCTACATTTTAGTAAAACATGAGTGCTCTCGTTTGAACCCCTCCATGAATATATAATCAAATTGAAAATCTATTAACTAACATATTATTATATTATTATTTTTTACCATCTAGTTTGCGTTAATTAACATATTATAAAGTTATTTATTTTTATTATATTATGAAATGGTTCAGAATTACTTAATTTTGTTAATATGTTCTTTTTGATTATTTTAGATTCATCAACTAGTTTTCATACATGATTAATTCATCAGTTTTTTCAACTACCAGATAACTTATCAACCATCAACTAGTTTATCAAATATAACATAAAATAACGTCTCAATAAGCTCTATCATCTTTTTACCACTTTTTTCCCTTCAATTTATGCCCTAATATTTTACTTAATGAACAAAAACCCTATACCTTTAAAAAATCAAATATCCTCGATTTATCTATTTGAAAAAAAAAACAACCACCAACATTATAAATAATTTTATAATTGCTAATTAACGTTTTATATGTCAGTTCGATTTCTGTGAGAGTGAAAGTTAACGTGATAAGCATAAGAAAAGATCTCCATCTTTGGATGCACACCGAGATGAGATGCACCGGATCTATCCCCATATTAAGCGCATGGGTAGGTTTGAAATTAAAGGTGATCAAAAATACATCCAAATCTCTTCTTACGCTTCTTACTTTAACTTTACTTCTTATACGATGGTTCACCTTATTTGTAAAATATGTATTTAATAAACCATCTTTATGAACTTATTAAAACTAAACTAAAAAAACCAACTAAGGTCTTATAAGAAGCACTCACCCTAATGTTATCTTATAAGAACCTCGTAGAAAAAAACTTCAAAAAGTAACCACTTATGGATGCTCTAATCTATTTCTTCTCTCTTATAAACATTAGTCGACATCTATAATTATAGATAAAGGAAGGGTTACAATCCGGTGAGAAAAAAAGTTATGGTGAGAAACGTAAAAAAAGACCTCCACCTTTGGATCGATCCTAATTAAACGTCAACACTAATGAGATGCATCTTAATTCCCTTTTAAAACGCAAATCATAAGAGAATATGAGATTAACAATGATCAAGGATTCATATATTTTTTCACCATAACTTCCTTTCTCACACAATCCTTCACAAAATGCTAAAATAAATGGATAACCGGAAATAAAATGAACTATTTAACAAGTAAATACGTCACCAAAAAATTGAATAAAAATAAGTTATTTAGGGGTGTCAGATAAGCTATTTAACAAGAAATCAATAATTGGTTGATGTGCATGACAAATGCTACTACAACATATGCGGTGGAAAGGAACACATTATAAATGATTAGCGGAGGTTGAATGTTGAAGTTCTCATAACTGTAGCACTAGTTATCGTCTTTGCTCAACACAATCCCGTTACAAGATTAGGGTTTGATGAGTGCTTAATCAGGTTGTATTGATCACCATGTGGCTCGGCTAGATCAAAGAGAAGGTTGTTGTAATCTATGAGGATCATCGTGATAGGGTTTAGTGAAGGCATGATCAAAGAAGTTTGAACATCATGAACAATATGCGGGTAGAATGTGTAATGAAAGATTGTGAATCTTGGAAATTTTCGACCTTGGTTTTAACATGATCAATTTACTTCCCAACACTAATGCAAACTCCCATAATTGTCGTTCAGATAAATCGTTCGGGAAATCAGACCACTAGGGTATGCGGCTTCCGAGTTCTTCTTCGATCTCGATCTTCCCGTTCTTAAAGAAATCAAATACATCATATACGGGATCGAACTTTCCCAGGCTCCATGGTGCGAAAGAAACACTATGGAGCCTTGGGAAGTTCGATCAAAAATATAATGTATTTTGATTTCTTTAAGGAAAAAAAACATCAAGATCGAAGAAGAACTTGGAAGCCGAATTCCCAACGTGGTTTGATTCCCTGAACAATTTATCTAAACTACAATTGAGAGTTGCATTAGCATTGGGGAATAAAAGTGATCATGTAAGAACAAGATCGAAAATTTACAAGATTGAAAATCTTGATCATTACCCATTCTACCCGAATATTGTTCATGATGCTCAGACTTCTTTGATCATGCATCCACTAACCCTATCACCATGATCCCCATGATACTCATGAATTACAATAACTTTCTCTTTGATCCAGTAGGGCTATGTGGTGATCAATATAACTTGATAAGTACTCATCAAACCCAAATTCTGTAACGGGGCTGCTGATGAGCAAAGACGATAACAAATGTTACAATTCTTAGAACTTCAGTATTCAGCGTCCGTCGATCATCAATGGTGTGTTCCTCTCCATCGCAGATACTGCAGCAGCCAGAAGCAACATCTGTCATGCACATAAACCCATTCTTGATGTCTTGGTTAAATAACTTATTTCTGGATTGAATATTGGGGTGACATAGACATATACTTTCATAATGACATATCTACTCCTTGGACTTCAGTTCATTTAATTCCAGTTTGAATCCTATGGTGACAAGTATTATCATAATGATAACAAAAATCATATATCATCAAGAAATCATATATCATATCTACTCCCGAAATTGATGCATAATATGCTATGAAATTGTTGTTTTAGTGTTTAATGCAAAAAGAGTAAGGAGGGAAATGGGCTAGAAATAGACGATAACGACCATAATCTGTAACAAAGTCAAACAGGTCAACTCTCAGCATGTTACATGTGAAAGATAGCAAGACTGTTAACGATTTTAGTGTCATCAATCATTTGGTATAAATGTGATTTACTTGAAATTGATGTAGGTGATAACGTAAACACAGTGTGAGTTAGGAGGTGTGGGGAGCACATTCACCAATCTTGCCTTGCCTCTGTCACCTTAGATCGGCATAAGGCACGTGTCAAGGGGCTTGCAGAATCCTAGTGGCAGTGCCCCTGGCAATGGTTCTATGGATTTTATCGAGAAAATTTAAGTTTCGAGACATTTTAGGTGGAATTCAGAAGGTTGGAAACCTTCCTGCAGTTTGTGCTGAAACTTAGAAAAATTTGCCTAAGCATGAATCGGAGGCTTTGGACTCGGAGCTTCTGAGTCCACTCAGCTACCAAGTCTTGACGCAGAGCCTCTGAGCTTTTGGCTCAAAGCTTCTAAGTCCTGAATTCGGTCCTTCTGAGCTGGTGCTTCTGACAGAGCTTCTGAGTCGGTTGTAACCATCACTCAATCTTATATGTAAGAGGTTGTAACTGCCATGGAGTTACATGTTAACCTCCTAACTGTCTGAAACTATCGATCTCTCTTATAAATACATAAATGATTGATCTAGTGAATATATATACACGAGTTTGTGCCTTAATTTGTATATGAATTTTTTGGATTAACCTAGTACTAATTTTGGCAACATAAGGTTGAAAATATAGTATTTGGAAAGTGATTCCAACCACAATCCAGGACATTATCCAAGTGATTACAACCACAACACTCAGATTACCCAAAAGTGATACATAAATGCTATTAAATTGTTGTTTTAATGTTTAATGCAAAAAGCATAAGGAGAGAAACGGGTTAGAAATGGACGATAACGACCATAATCTGTAACAAAGTCATACAGGTCAACTCTAGGCATGTTACATGTGACCTAGAGTGTCAACCTGTGGTCGCCAGGCTCATGTCGCGAAGATGGAGTGGTCAACGAGCCACATTGGACCAGTCGGGCAGGCCAGTTTTGGTATTTTTCTAGCCGGCCAGTCAATTAAGGTGATAGCAATAGTCAGCAGGGAAGCAGAAGCAAAAGGGTTATAGACCGAGCCTTCGAGGACCGGTATACATGGCCTGACCAGGTATGGGTTTTTTTGGTATTTATGATCAAATAAATAAAATATTATTTGTAGTAAACATTTTATATTTCCCATGTTTAATGTTATAAAGTACTAGAACTAATATTGAAAAGCAACGTTAATAACTTACTATATAATACACAAAACAAAAGAAAAAATAGTTAATAATAGTGTTATAAAAAAACAGTAAATATATAAAAAAAATAGTTAAAAATTCAAATTGGTTAGGTGGACTGACCTAAAGGACCAGTTACTACAAGTTACGGTATTTCTCTTGTACACTGACCTGGACAGGGACTGGTTAGGGGATGTGGAGGTAGGGACCGACCGGTTAACCAAGGTTGGGATGAGCAAATTACACAGGTGAGCATTAAAATCAAAAAAGAAAACCAAAAAAACACAACTTGGAAAAAGACAATATGAATATAGAGAAAAAAAGAGATGACTCTAACCAAACCAAATAGAAGATTAAATGCAAAAAAGGAAACTTTAAGCATAGTTCCATACAAAATCTGAACTCTTAGGCTGTGTTTGGTACAATGCATTGGACCGGATAGGACAAAACTAATTGTTCCACGTTTGGTGCGACATGGGACATATGACAAAAACTCACTCTTTCCATACGCTTCCATGTCAAAATATTTATATAGCTGTATTTATGAATTATCAGCTATAAAATTCAAGAGCATAATCTGTAGTATCACATGCATTTTCAATGCTTCTTTACACTACAAGGTACATATTGCATTACAAAGAAATGTTTGATCACAAAACATATTTGGCAAAACAACATGTTACAACATGTTACAACATGAAACCAGACCTATAAACAGAATGATTGTATCTTTTAATCTTATAAACAAACCAATCAGATTCCTTAAAAACGTTTGGAAATAGCCATGTTGTCATTTTCAGTCAATCTGATTGGTTGATTATACCACAAGAACTAGAAGTATAATTCAATGATTCTGTAAGTCACAAAGCTACTAAAGCTGTATGATGTTTTTGAAATAGTATGTACCACAAAGATACCATCCAAATAGAAGAAACACCACGAATGCCAAGAAAGTTAGAAAGTGCGCACCTCCAAATGTGATACCCATGAAGAAAACGACCATGAATGAGAGATAAGATCGAACCATAGATGGTGTGTTTACCCACTGCCCTTTGAACAGAATTAAAGCTGCAACATTCACCACGTTCCACCCACTGGCCTGGGATTCCAAACGGTTAAGATGGTTGGCCACAAATGAGTGACAGTTGCAAGTTAAGATGCTATATGTTTGGTGTTGGTATTCTTGTGTGGTCTTTTTCAAGGCATCGTCCCAAGTGTACTGGCTTTTTCCTGATTCTACGAGCTTAAATTCTTCTTCGCTTCTGTATGTGGTGAAAGGGTCCCGAGTGGTAGAGCACTGTTTTGAGCGAGATCATTGAGTAAATTAATTAACAAAGATAGGTCGAGTACGTTAGAGTATTAGACACCAAAAACCAAACTAAACGGACCCGGCAAATCCCTCTCGAGGGTTGGGGTGAGATGTAAGCAGATTTGACCTCTACCCCAAAGAGTAAAGTGGCTATTTCTGTGAAGACCTCCAGCTTGTGCAGAAGTGTGAACAAACAGGTAGTAGGAATAAAGACTACCATGGTGAACGAAGCACGAGAAAAATAAGTAAGAAAAAATAAAGAATAGGTACATTGAAAGCATACAACACAAGGTATACCTTCTCTTTGCTTATTTGGATATAGCGAGCCACAGAGCCAAATGTGAAGTTATCTACAGACACAAAGTTAGGTCCTGCAAAGTCCAGGATGACTCCATCCTCGCGGCCTATCCCAACATGACCAACAAAAGGGAGGAGCCATGAAATAACCGGGAGGGGTGTCCATACAATGCAGCATGGGAAGCGGGCTCTTGTTGGATCAATCTGCATGCTATTTGGAGCAGTATGCTCCATCATCAATTGTTTAGGTTCTGTATCTGATTCCATCGCCAGATCTGCGATCATTAACTTGATCAGGTTTGCATGCTGCCAACAAAGCTCAATTCTGCTAGTTATCTAACAAGTCTGCACGTTCAGATTAGAAATTCCAAAATTGTTCCTCAATTTAGTGCGACCACAAGTGCACTATCACATTCAATACCACCTTACCATTTACGGCTATGATTTGGCAAACTAGCTGATAAGCCAGTTGTTGGCTGATAAGCTAGTAGATAAACTAATCATGTTTGGTAAAAACTAGCCAATAAACTAGATTACAATGTAAAATAACCTAAAAGGAAATGCTGGAAAATTAATTGGAAAAATATAAGTGGCATAATTGAAAAAGGGAGGAAAAGGCCCTTGAAGCTTGTTGAAACGCTACTTGAAGTAATTTTTCAAAAAGTTAGCTTATGGCTGAAGCAATGCAGCTTTTTCATTAAGCTCGAAAATGAAGCTAGCTTATAAACTACCTTATGGTAGTCAAACATGGCTTATAAATTTCTTAAGCCATGATACCACAACTAGTGCTATGGATTATTCTGCAACAAATTTGGCACACATCACCCTGCCATGAGCACACTAAGATGTTTTTTAGCCTTTGTTACTCACTTTCTCAATTCTCATGTGCAACTATCCTTCATTCACTTTACATCACATGTGTTCATCTACATTCTAAAAACAAAACCTCTAAATCTGAGCATCAATAAACTTAATGGGAACAAATCACTCATTGACAGAAATTTTCCAGTTTACTAGTTGTATAATTCTTGATTGGTATCTCCACTTTCTATAACCTGTGGGTTCACTTTGAAGCAATCCAGCTCATATACGCAGACAACATTTACAGTTACATCTTCTACAATAGGGAATGGCACCATAAATCACCACTTTTCGAAATATACACCTAGTCCTCTCTCTTGCATCTGTCCATCATATAATAGAGGCGAAGTCTGACTGAACATATCAAATAACTTTTTATTATATTTGTCAAATATCTTATGAAAAACTGACAAAATATAAGAATCTTATGGACCAAAATTAAGGCTATCAGATTTTTGTGCGAGTGCTAAGAGACAAAATTAATTTTGGAACAAACTTTAACAACCACAAGAAATGTTGCGGACTAGAACTCTATCTTATTATCAGCTAGCAACTTACTGAAAAATGGTGGAGAAAAATGTAATCGTGGATTGAAACTTGCCCAATAATTTGCTTGCATTTATTTTCGTGCCGAGATTGTAATATCTGGATTCGTTTTAAACAATCTACAATATCTGTTCACTTTGCTGGATTCATAATATATCAGCGATATGTTGTTACTTGGAACATCTGAGATCAGTAATCGCAACGACATTAACGGTACAATATTTCATGTTCATCGCTAAAAATAACAAGATCAGGCATTCGGCAGACATCTAGAAAACCGAAAATGATCCACATTGCAATGCTGAATTGATTTAACAAACAAACTAATGCCTCGAATCATTTCCCCCTAATCCGAATCTGGTTTCGATTGAACAAGATCTAGCAATTGGAACATCAATAATGCAAAATCAGAGTCTAAAAGTTGCAGCAATTAGAGATGGAGAATGAGAATACCTTCGTTACGGATCTACAAACCTTCGAACTGGAAGCTTAATAGGTTTACCAAGATCCAGTACTAAAAGACTCGGATCAAGCTCTCTCTTCTTCCCCCTTCTTTTTTCTATTATAAGCCTGTATCATGCTGGATTTGTGGTGGTAGCTCCCAACCAATCCCATTATGTATTTTAGAGTAAACTACAAGTTTAGTCCCTGAATTATATGTCAAAGTGCCTATTAGTCCATTTCTTTTCATCTGTGTTAAAATCAAGTGGATTTTTTTTTTACATTTCTTCAATTCTTCTATATTATTTATAATGATCTCAACCTTGATTCAATTTCGTGAAACTCGTGTTACGAGCAATTTTTTATCAGGTTTTTTGAAAATCGATTGCTGGAAAACAACATAATTTTCGATATCGATCAGAGGGCGGAATGAATTTTAATTTGAATGCATCATTTTATGAAGAGATAGTGACAAAGATTAATGTCTTATTTTTTTGAAGCCGTGGCGAAAGAGTATGGTAATGGTGTTACTATCTCCTTATTAAATGATGACCAGTGTCACTTGTTGTTGACACGAAACAAAATGTGGTGGCTGGAAGCAACCAATAATAAAGAAGATGAAGATGGAACAACAAACTCAAGAAAGTTGGTTACGAAAGTGAAGAGGTGTGTCACTTCTTGGATGGAGATGATGAAAGTGTCGTTGTCTAAAACCTTTTATTATATGTCGATAATCGCATGCCAACAACCAAAGGAAGTCCTCAACGGAAGAATGGTTTTCGTGGCCTAAACCACATATCCTAGCTTACCAACTGGTCGTAACAATTTTTGGAGAATACTAAGCATACGAGTAGACCCCCTCGAAAATAATAGACAACATAGCCTCAAGATGAGGTCTATTGTACTGGACCCATGTGGAGAAGATGGCCCCCATTACCTAAAAATGAAAAATATATAAGGCTTTTTAATTGTTGTATATTTGACGTTTTAGGTTCGAATTTTGTGTCATCTTATATATTAAAAGTTTGTACTAAAAAAACATAGAGCATGTCTTCTCTATTCTTCGTCTTATCTTTTATATTAAAAGGTTGTAATATGTCGGTGGTATCTCCCATTCCCATTATGTATTTTAAAGTAAGCTACAAACTTAGTCCTATATACATCAAAGTGCATATTTAGTTCATTTATTTTCACTTTTATTCAAGGGCAATAAGCTTGATTGGTAAGGCTTGGCCAAGGCATTCTTGATAGCGTCGTGCAGGGATGGACAAGACACCATGCATGTTTGGCTTGATTTGGAAAGGCTTAGACAAAAGGCGTTCCTGATAGCATCATGCATAGTGGACAAGGCATCAGACGTGTTGTGCTTGGCTTAGCTTTGCAAATATTGGCCAAGACGTTCCTGGTAACGTCATGTGGATGGACAAGGCACCGAATGTGTTTGATTTAGCTTGCTAAGGCCTTCCTAATGGTGTCATGCAAGATAGACAAGGCACCAGACATTGGTTAGTTCTGACTACGTCGTGCGGGTGCACAGGGCACCAATCAATGCTTGGCATGACTTGGCCAAGGCCTTCCTAACTACGGCGTGTGAGGTAGACAAGTTTTCGAGTGTGCTTGGATAGACATTGTTAATTGCAACAGTTGGGATGGGTACAACATGGGGGAACGGGTGCGACGTGAAAGGTGGACGAGACCCTGAGTTGTTTCACATGATTGGACGTGCCTAGAAAGGCTTAGGATAGGCTTTGGGCTTGCCTATAGTGACCCAACCCTCACACGTTGCGACCACTGGCTCTTCAGGCCACGTGCATGAGGAGCAAATAACCCCATAATACCCCTTATAGACACATTTTGCATAGGCTCAAACATTGATTTTTAAGGATCTCATAACTCACTCAGATTGCCACAAACCTTTGTGTGAGTCATCTCCAACATAAATAAATACATTTTCAAACAAAACAAATAGTTTTGGGTTGGTAAATATGTGGGACCTAGCCTGGGCTGAACCGAACGTACTTTCCATGAGCCCTTTTCCAACATAAAAAAAGGCTTTCAAATAAATATATATCTTTTTTAGAATAATGTTATTTGGGGCTTCCATTCAATCGAGGCGTCAAAGTAAAGATCGAACGGGATAGTGGATTTTTATCACCCGGTTACACCATGTCAGATTGTCACAAAACTTTGTTAGTAAATGGAGATTGAAGAATATATGTGAACCGGATAATCAATTGGATCACAGAAAAAATGCTTTCCAACTACAATAATTTAACCATTATTGCCTTAGGTATCATGAATTTCGTATTGAGATAATCCAATTGAAAACTCTAATATTAAACACCGTAAGATCAAGTTCTTATATATACATATTCTCGTTCATATATTTATATGAGATATCGACGATTACAAGCGGTTAAATGGATAAGACATAAGTGTCCAGTAGCTACAACTGTTAACAAATAAGATTTGAGAGCAGTTACAACTGACTCAAAATTAGAAGCAACGTTATAAGGGGTCTAGAGCTTTGATCATAGAGAGCAGAGACATTAAGGTCCAGATGCTAGAGGCTCTGATCATAAGAACCAGAGGCTCTGATCCTCAACCTCTAACTTGAGGGAAGGCTCAGATCCCTGAGTATAAGGCTTAGAGGCTCTGTTTCCACTGCCTCTAAACTATACTAAGTCAAAATTTAACAAAGTCCAGGAACAATTACAAGAAGGTTTCCAACCTTCTAAATTTATTCAGATCATCCCAAAACAAAAAACAAAACTAAATAAGCCTCTTCTTAAGATTTGTAAACCTCGAGTTCTGCCCTGAACCACGCTAGAGACAGGGTCACGCCCAAGGCTCAGTGTAACACCCGCAATTTCAGATTTTTGTTTATGATTAATCACCCATCAATGGACATTTTATACATTAAAGTTTAAAGGCTCTAATATTAATAGTTGCATCTAGTCAAATTTTGCCAAAAGAAGCAGCCATCAGTGATTGAGAGGCAGGAATTTATTCCATGAGCTCGTATCTAACTTAGGCAGTTGGAATGATTTCTATAGTTGATGCATCTCAACTAACCCTGGATCTCGAAGTCATTGATGGCTTAACAAAGTTTTCAGTGTAAGGAAGGAGGTCCCTAAAGTCATTGATGGCCAAGTTGAAAGCCGAGTTTGCATGTTAAGGAAGGAAGGCGAAGAGTCAGTTATGTTGAGTAAAAGATCAATGTTGTCAGAAGATCGAAGAACGTACACACAACCACATTTATATACATACATCTATATACACATGTATGTGTATGTGTATGTGTATGTGTATGTGTATGTGCATGTGCATGTGCATGTGCATGTGTATGTGTATGTGTATGTGCATGTGCATGTGCATGTGCATGTGCATGTGCATGTGTATGTGTATGTGTGTGTGCATGTATAGATACATATAAGTCCACCAAGTATGCCCTACATCTTTTTTTTTGCATGGGGTGACTTCTTCCATAAATAATAAGGCCGACCTGGTGTGTGTGTGTGTGTGTGCATGATGAACACTAGAGGAATTATGATTGAATTGCAATTGTAATTGTAACTAAATGCAAAATGGAAAAAATAAAACCATGGTCGCAATTATGCAATTCCATGCCATAATCATCACTCTACCCTCATTTTATTTTAGTGGGTCTAAGGGTCGTTTACCAAACACTTATCTGGGTAAGCGCTTAATGGCAAAATTCAACATCATCACTTAATTACCGGGTAAGATTTTATATGCAACAATTTACCCATGAAGCACTAACCATGATAAGAGTCTTCACCCTCATTTTATGGTTTTACATTGTAAAAGTATGGATTTTTATTAGGAATAATTTGTGACATGTATTGTTCGGTTTTTATTGATTTAATTATTATATGTATGGATTAATTGGCAATGCAAAGATAGTCCATTGGTATTCCTCACCGTATTAGACACGGTAGTTTAGGTGTTAATTTAGGTGGATGATGGTCCGTTAAGATAAGCATGGATTATGCCGAGTGTTTGATCAATTTCATATTTGTGTTCGTTTAAATATTGCATGTTAAATCAATGAAATCAATTGGATTTGAGGAACACTTGGGTTAGTAATGATTAGGGATGATCTTGATTTTCGTTTTTATAAAAAGTTTCGATTTTAATTTCTTTTTAGTAATTTAGTTCAACTTTCCAAAACTCCTGATCTGTGAAGTAGTGCCATTTGTAATAATCATATTTTAGTTTTTAGTTAGTTGTCGTTGAGCTTAATCGATTAATTTTGAGTAGTCAATCCTCTTGGTCCTTGCCATATCCACCCGCTAAGGCACTTGACATCTGGTAAGTACTTATCCGACAAACATTTGGTAAACGACCCTTAAGTCAACATTGCATGTATACCCTTTTCTTGGATACATGGTTTTAACATGGTTGTCTGTTTGAATCTGTATCACTTCTATAGAAAGTAATGATGTACTGGTTTTAATTGTACTTGTAGAAGTTCATCATTTTAATTTTATTCGTTACAGATTGGAAAATTATTTTCGTATTTTTTCCCAACATGTACCTTATGTTGCGACCAAAGAGTTGTGCAGGAGATGGGGGAAATTCGTGCAAATGCTTTTGCCGTCAAGTCTACATGACATTGTTAATACATTTTCTTAAAATAATGAGCATGAAGATGGGAAATCTCAACTTGATGGTAATCATACATGGTGTCACTTTGTTTTAGAACTAACTGTCACGTGATGATTTTTTTTTCTTCGAGTATCGTGATGTTATTCTTAATAACTTATGTCATGAATGAAATACGAACTTAAAAATTTCAAACATACATGAGGTGTTTGACATAACTAATTACATAATTGCGGGAAGCGTAAAATATTTTGCAAAACATACTCATTTGTGGAAAATTGACAAAAGTAGTCAATCCACTAAAGTCAATTCACTTTATAGCCACTTCAGGACCCTATTTCCCCAAAGAGCCAAAATTTACACAGAATCTTTACGCATTATGTGTAAGAATTGATTTCGGCAAAAGAAGATTTTAGAAACAAAGTTCATGCAGAAAGTCAAAAGTTTACGTAGAAACTACTTTTTTGTGTAAGGTTTTATTAAAATATTTTTTTGTTGAAGTTTACACATAAACCACTCTTCATTATTCT